ATAATTGAGTCGGCTTCATAGCAATGAACCACCTGACCAAAAGCAAGTAATTGGGCCTAGTGAGAAGTACCGCCAAAAAAATGCAATTTCCACCGCCAGTGGGAGTTGTAGAACATTTGCCCTGATTCATAATGATTCATATATTACGTATATATAAGAACAATATGATTATGTGTATATATATATAATACACAACAATGTATATATATATATGTAATATAAGTACATCTTAAGGAGGTGGCTCAAAGTTAATGGTTGACGGTTGCGTTAGGGCCGGAGTCTTGGATGGATTCAATCCCCTTCCAGTCCGATGCACAGCAAGTCATCTCTGCCAACTCAGACTCTTTGAGAACTGAGAAAAACCGCCAACATCACTGAGGGCTCATGATGGGATGCGGTAACATCCAGGCCTGAAGACGAACTAAGCTCTAGAAAGTGGCTGGTTGCGAATAGTTGCTGTGCTGAGGATGCGCTGGTTGCCGCAGATGTCACTGAAGGCCTCCTGATTCTTCGTGACATCACTGGCCAAGGATCAGTCAGCTTCCTGTTTAGCTTGTTGTTTTTGTGCATTTTGTTTTGAGTTATTCGCTTGAGCTTGAACTCAGTCGTGGCTCGAGGCACCTCCAGTTCAGCTCCTGCTGGTGTGTCTTTGCAGCAGGCCCAACCATTGAGGTCAAGGCACTTCGGCTCACTGAGAGGCTGTGTCAGACTGCAGGCAGCAAATGTGATGCTATGGGCTATGAAAGAGGCGCTTCGGGAAGCAAGCCGAGAGTGACAGGACGACTTGAACCCTTGTGGCATGCTTTGGTATGTGTGGATTTCACCCGTTGCTTTGCATCCTTCGACACAGATTTCCTCACCGCTTGTTGCAGGCCCAATCTTGTGATGGTCTTCGATCTCACTTGAGATCTTTGCAGACAGAACTAGAGGCCTCGCAGCGGCTGAAGCGTAAGTCATTAGCTCACGCCGGTTTTATTAGGTAGCTTGTTCAAGCCGATAGCGTATTGGGCCCAAAGCATTTGACCACCACCACATCATTGGCTTGATAGATCAAACATGTTTTAAAGTTTCACAGTTTAGCAATCCATGTAAACCCACCAGGAACAGTTCCAAACAACTTGTTTAGCCGCTTGTTCCGAAGAGCTATGGGAACAGTCACTTCGACCACCCAATCGTTGCAGAAACGGGATTTGTTTGCAGTTTCCTTCGGATTGGCTCTATCCATTGCAACAGCATTTGCACTTCGGTACAGAGGAAAGAGGCTGAGGGAAGCACCGTGTTGCGACTGTGGACATGGGCACTGTGGACAAAAGTCTGACTGTTGCAGCACAGCAGACGATGGACCAAGTGAACCGAGTGGTGAAGCGAACGAAGATCTTGAGGATCTAGCCAGTGACGCTCACATTTCAAGACCACCGCGTCTTGGGATTGGGGAAGTTCTGCGGAAGCTGACCCGCTCAAGTGTTCCTACCGATACGGTTGCATCAGATCAATCTAGATTGCCAGGCAGGCAACGGATTCACGTGAAAACATTTGGCTGTCCTCACAATCAGTCTGATGGCGAATACATGGCAGGCCAATTGAAAGACTATGGCTACACTCTTGTAGATTCCTTGGAAGAGAGCGATGCGGTTGTGATCAATTCCTGCACTGTCAAGCATCCTTCAGAAACTAGAGCACTCAACCTTGTTTCCAATGCACAACAGGCTGGCAAAGGTGTAGTGCTTGCAGGCTGTGTCCCATCAAGCAATCGACAGCTTGCAGAGAGCTTGGGAGTAAGCATGCTGGATGTTACCCAGCTTGATCGCATTGTTGAGGTGGTAGAGGAGACGGTGAAGGGAAACACAGTGAAACTGATGGAGAAACGGAGCGACTTGCCATCGTTGTCACTCCCGAAGGTACGGAAGCATCGCTTGGCTGAGATCATTACCATCAATGCCGGCTGCCTTGGAAGCTGCACCTACTGCAAAACAAAGATGTCTCGCGGGAAAGTGGTCTCATATCCCATTGAGGCGATTGTAGATAGAGCCTTGGAGTCTGCTCGTGAAGGTGTTTGTCAGATTGAACTTGCCTCAGAAGACATGGGTGCCTATGGTCTTGACATCGGCACCAGTATTGCAGAGCTACTTCGCAGTGTCTCTGATGCGCTGATGAAACACCATCCGGGTGTAATGCTTCGTACTGGGATGACCAATCCTCCATTCATCATGCAGCATATTGATGAAATCATCGAGGTCTTGAACAGACCCAACGTTCACGCCTTTATGCATATCCCTGTTCAGTCCGGCTCAGATCAAGTTCTCAGAACCATGAGACGAGAATACACTGTCGCTGATTTCTCCTACCTGGCCGATAGGCTGAAGGCTTCTGTTCCGGAGCTCTTTTTGCTTACAGACATCATTTGCGGTTTCCCAACCGAAAGTGAGGAAGACTGGCAAGAGACCATGGCCTTGTGTCGAAAGTACAAGTTTCAGGGTATTCACATCTCGCAATTTTATGCCCGACCGGGAACCGCAGCAGCGCGGTTGAAGCCTTTGAAAAGCCACATAGGGAAGGATCGTTACAAGGAACTGGCAGATCTTATGACCTCTTATGACCGCAATGAGCACTTGCTTGGACGTGAGGAACGTGTGTGGTTTGCAGATACTGAGCAGGAGCGGTCAAAGGGGGTCAACTTGCAAGGGCAGACCGTAGGTCGAACTAAGTCCTTTGCAAAGGTGCTTGTGCCCCGCAATGACTCGTTGCTTGGCAAAAGTGCCAGGGTGCAAATTACATCTACTTGCCGTCTGCACGTAGAGGGAGTCGTTGTTGGCGACGTAAGATAAAAGTGCCCTTTTGATTATGTGATGCAAACGATGGTTGCTTTTTCCACCAGATCCCTGCAAATAAATGCCTGACACCTACATTCCAGGCGATACAAATCGAAGCAAATGAGAACAGGAGGCCAGGTGCAAGCTGCATTTGTTGTGATTTGTAGACGCCGCAGTTCTGCGAGTGCAAACTCCTTGCGCAGGATGGCTGAAGAAGCCAAGGCAGAAAATCAACAATTGAAGGTGGAGCTGTTTCAGTTTGCGCTCCTCCTTCACTTACAGCTGATTTAGATTGTTGGTATCAAGTGACTATTTTGCGATGCGAAGTCACATCATCTTGCACATGCACTGTGGTTGTTCACATTTAGCTGGGGCTAGCTACTAGATACAGTGGAGGGAGAATCAACCACTGGAAGAGGAACCTCAACAAACTCGGCAACGTGTGAGGTTTGCTTTGTGTAGCATTTCCTCCATCAGCCGTTGTTCGCTTCGCAACCACAGGCAAAAATTGAGTCGCTGGGCAAGCTGGTAGCAAAGCAGCAGCAGGTGATCGTGGAACACGAGGCGCACATTACACAACCGTCCAGATTAGGTACCGGGTGCATGTAGAACTCAGTCTTGCATCCCTGTTTAGTACCGTTGAGCAAAGCTGCTGCCTCACTGAGGGCCGGTTGCGTGCTTTCAGTGCGAGGACAATAGGTGCAATGGTGGCAAGCAAGAATGGTTCGACAGGTGCCTGGTTTCAAGAATACTGTGATACATAGCAGGCAGCGAGAGGAGTCTGATTTTTGATCTCCCAGTCACACTAGGTTCATGTCTACATGAGACTAGATGCAGCAGTTTGTGCTTGGCTGTACTGACCCGGGTTTTCCTAGTTCGCTTTGCAGGTGTCAAGCGGCGCCGCTTGATCTCGTTGAACGACCCAAAAGAACCAGAGGCGCTGCAGTGACTGCAGTCATGGCAGCTGCTTCTGTGCTTCCTCTTCAGCAGTTCCAGGTGCAAGAAGAGCTCAGCAAAGGTGGGAAGTTGTGGGCATGAAGAGAGGAAACATGACTTTGTTATCTGGAAACGAGGTATTCCCATGAAAGATGTCACCAATGCAAGCACGGAGAAGGAGTGACCTCAGCGACCAAGTGTTAATTAATTGAAAGCTCTGACTGACTCTTTTCCTCCTCAGACTGCTCAGAGCCAGGATCTTGTTCACCAAAAGAGATCAAAGGAAGGGTCGGACTCCAAGGACACCAATGACTCCAAGGACATGCTGGTCTCGGAAAAAGCCACATCCAAAGATCTAAAAGATCTGCCGATTCTGAAGCAGCTGAAGCAGGTTGCAGGTCTCCGAATTTGGGAGCCACGGCAAAGCTCCACCAAGGAGTTTGAACCCTTTGGGTCGGGCCTGAAACTCGACAAAGATATCGAGGGCATCGGCCAACCCCGAACAGATTCAGAGATAAAACGATCTGGATCCTTTGAAGTTCGGGCAGAGGGACATGTGGCTCCCAAAGGCAAGGAGGGGGTTCCCTGCCGATGTGTAGTTCGCGGAAAGGCTCAGCGCCTTGCTTTACAAGGCTTTGACTGTGAGCAATGCCGGAATTTCTACGCTGCGACCAAGCTGGCTCCCAAATCTGAAGACTTGAAAGCCTCTCGACACCGATTGGAGCACGCACCAACATGCACACCACCAGGCCGAAGAGCATGCTTCACGTGGCTTGTAGTTCCACTTTCCTTTCTGGTCTGATCATGGTAGGTTTCTGGGATCTATCCTTTCCCGCTCATTTGGATGCTGCGACTCAGGCATGGCATTATTGTTCTCTGTGCTGCACACTTTGCAATGCTTTTGTGACATGTATCTGATCAAGGTGCAACCCCTGCAGAATTGAGATGAACTGACCCTTTGTAATTTTGCTTCAGACTCTTGTAACCGCTTAGCCTATTGGAAACTCTTCCAAGAATTGACAATTCAGAATTTGGCGACTTCTTCCACGGAGCCGCCAGATCTAGTTTCTGCAGGCAAAATGCTGTGTAGCTCCTGCTTGTTTTGTAAATTGAAGGGTCCACTGAAGATCCTCGCGGGGTTTCTGGCACAGAAGCAGTGTGGGGCGCGCTGATGCCAAAAAGACGTTTGTGAACATGTTGTGATCTTTTGCTTCATCGTTGCAGCAGATCTTAAGCAGTCCCAAAGCGCTCAAGGTGCAAGGAGTTGGGTCTGGACGAGACGGAAGGCCGAGTCATCAGTGCATATTTTGGAGATTCTCTTGAACCTTGAGATGAAGATGCCAGGACCCTTTTCAGCGCGCACAAGAAACGCCCAGTCTTGGCGAGCGCAGCGGTCCTAGTTAGTAAGACCTGTTTTGCTTTCATATGCTTTCACCATCAATCATCCATTCTGCAGGAAAGCTGTTTCCTCACTTCTTTACTAGGAGCAAAGGGCATCGCTACTAGGAGCAAAGACGCTACTAGGGGCTACTGGCATCGCTACTAGGAGCAAGAACGCTACTAGGGGCTACTGGCATCGCTACTAGGAGCAAGAACGCTACTAGGGTTCTTCAAAGAAGCTCGCTTTTGAATGAACATTACCTTTCCAAGATCCCAGCGATCTTGCAGGTAGGTGTGGGAGGACGGCCACCTGGGAGTGTATAGGCCTCAGCTATACGGACTGTGGAACTCCTGAACACTTGTCCAAGCCTTTCTATGTTCTTGGATGTTCTTAGGTGTGGAGGGATCATGTTGCTGCAGGAAAAGGCCAACAATACGGATTAGCTGGATTAGCCACTTGTAGAAGCTTGAGGATTCTTTGAACACCCTCAAGGTCCCTTGATTGATTTGTTTCAGGATTGTCAGGACTTTTGCTCTCACAAAGTTGTGTGGTGCAGCAGAAGATCTGGTTCAAGTCCTATCCACCTCCAGCCTATTCCAATGTGGTCATGGAAAAGTGGGGAGAGAGTGAAGGGGCCAAAAGCACATTATTCTTCGACGAACAGGATATCACCGTCCCTCAGAATATCTACTTGAAGTGGGTTCGGCAAGAGCTCGAGGACGAAGAAGCATGTTTGGAGCTTCCTTTCATGATCCTCGTTTTGGTCTCATTCACCCTGATGGCAGTCTTGTCCTTGAACCAGCATGTGGTTCTTTCCGTAGAGCAAGCGATCGAGCAAGACATTCGTGAGAATGCAAACTTTGCTTTCAATGAGTACATGGGACACAAGACATTACAAGACGTCCACTCAGTGCCCGACTTTTGGTCTTGGATGCGCTTGGGCTTTCTGCCGCTTGTGATTCAACCAGCTTGGATGTACTCTGAAGGTTATGCTCGCAATGTTGCAAGTGCATTTCAGCTCAATACTGTACCTAACAGTGTGTGGGATATGGGCACCTATCATATTCCCGTAGCCGGAGATTACTTGCACTACAATCGCATCATAGGTGGTTTGCGCTTCCGGCAGCAGGTTGCTCCAGAAGCACCTTGCAGATTTCCACCAGGGCGCAAAACAGATCTTTGGGAGCGCTGGTATGGAAAAGTTTGCATGCCTGCTTTTCAAGAACCTTTTTTTGAACCGGACACCTCAGTTGGTGAAGTCTTTGAACAAGCTACACGTGAAGAATGGCTGTTGATGGCTGATATGCAGAGGATGATGGACCAAGTACTGGATATGGAGGATGGCTGTCATGGAGTGCACACTATTGGCACCCGAGCATGCTATTGCAATTGGTGTCAGGCACAAAGCCCAGCGATGCCGTGGGTCACTGAGAGGACACAACGTATCGAGGTTTCCATGGCAACCTTCAATGCTGAATATGGACTTTTGACCCTTACCGGAGTCAATCTGTGGATAGCCAGAGGCGGCCGTATGCGGAAGCGTGTGGAATTGATGTCTGTGTGGGTCAATTTTTCTCAGTTCACTGCTGCAAATGTACCAGTGATGGTTTTCGCCGGAATTTGGCTGGTTTGCGTGTGCTACATTTTCATAAATGAAATCATAGAAATCATATCAGTGATCAGAAATGCCGAAACCCGGTGGCACCGGGCATTGTTGGAAGATTATTTGGGATTTTGGAATATTGTTGACTGGCTGTCGATCAGTGTTGCTGCTGTGGTCGTTGTGCTTTGGTTTGGCCTGGCCATGGAGAGTGGCACTCTTCAAGATCATTTAGGAAAGCTTTTGGAAGATCGAAGCAGTTTGGCTTTAGTAGCTGCTTTCTTCCAGGCGTTAGAGGTCACCTCAGCAGAAGAGAAACGCTTTCGACTGATTCTTTGCTTCTATCCGATGCTCCTACTGCTGCGACTGTTCAAGTCCTTCGCTGCCCAGCCTCGCCTGGCAGTGGTCACTGACACCATCAAGTTGGCATCGCAAGACTTGCTGCATTTTGGGCTTGTCTCAGCAGCCGTCATTGCATGTTTATGCTTGAACGCGGTACTTCTCTTCGGCCGCGATGTTGAAGCCTTTGGAAACCTACCACGCTCCTTGCACAGCTCATTCCGGATGCTGTTTGGAGATTGGGAATGGGCTCCAATGGAAGAAGTCTCAAGATCTGGAGCATATTTGTGGTTTACCATTTTCATGGTGCTGGTAGCAATCATTCTCCTCAACATGCTCCTGGCCATTATTCTGGATAACTACATGGATGTGAAGAGAGTGTCCGCGAGTGCCCAATCCCTCGGTGAGCAGAAGCTCGGCTGATTTTTAGAAGCTGTTTTTTGTTTTTATATAATGTGTTTTTTTCTTTTGACTTATCTCAAAAACCATGCCTACCTCAAACCTTCCATAGCGTTGCCGTTCACTGAGTCATTTTTGTTTGCATCCATTTCAAAGCAAAGAACTTGTAACGCAGCTCGATAGTGCAAATTTACACCTTCGGCCTTTCGTAGCAAGTTTCATGTCTTACACGGGCAGTGCCTCAGGTTTCAAGAAAGGCGCCGGCGCCGGCAGATGCAGAAACGCAAGGAGCGTATGCGTTTGACTGATGTATGGGATCACTTTGTAGCAGAGGCTCAAAACCGCCCAAAGTTAGCTTTGGCATCAGAGAGAGACATCACAGTGGATTTTCTCGAACAGATGGGCATGCCATCGTCCCAGGCCTCACGAACCTTGCAGAATTCCTGGATGGCTCATTTGAAAGCCACAACAGTACCCTTTGAGCTCAAACATTCCTCATCATGGCTGGCACGATTTGAAGCTGACACTCGCAAATGCCGCAATGGTTTGTACTTCCTTTTTGACAGACTCGAATTCTATGACACTAGGTTTGCAAAGCTAGATGTGGAGGAGTTTTCAGATTTGGCCCAGAGTGACATGGCCCAAGAAATGGCAGTGCAGCTGCTTCGCCTAAGCAGTGAAGCGGCGGAAAAATTGGCAAAATTGCTTTCGGTGGTGGACAAAACACAGTCTCGAACCGAAGAAAAGCAGTTGTTGATCCATGGCACTGTGCGTGACATGACGCATTTGTTGCTAAAGCTGCAAAGTCTCGGAACCCATATTGGGAGCCGACTCGAGGGCTTGACCTACACCGGACAAAGTTCCTGGCCAAGCTGGTTCGACGGAAAACATTGAATGCTGACATAGGTGACATAGCTGCTGAAATCTAGAATAATCCAGAACTTATTCAACATGAAATTGAGCCAAATGCACCCAAGTTCACTGGTGTTATTAATGTGCCCTCCTTGCAGGCTTTTGACTTGGCTGTGTATAAATTGAAGCAGCGGGTGAGAGCCTTCCGTTCACGCGAGCACAAGCGCTGAACTTGCGGTTTCAGGGAAGGTTATGTGAGAATTCATACAAGGACGTTTAACGATGCTTCTCCGTGTTGATACAATCTCATCAACTTTACCCTGCTGAGCTTTTCTTTAGTTTCACAGTGATCACCTTTTCAAGGGAGCCGAAGCCCGGACGCAATCCTCAAATGGTCAAACTGCAAGGCCTTGCTCTCCCTTGTTTAAGTGGTGGTCGTTTGCTAGCTGAAGGATGTTTGGGGATGCACCACCTTTGCTAGAGGCAACGCTGCTCATGAATTGCTCATTTGGAAGGCTTTGCCACTCATCCCTGTCATCATCCTTCAGCCTATGTGTGGCTTTGACTTGAGTACATTAGTCTAGACACCTTAGGTCTGAAGGGCACAATTTTTCAAAGTAGCCCATGTCAAAATGATTCAACATGCCATTGTCTTAATTGGCAAGCATTGGACGTGTTGCCACTTGCTCACTGTATGTTCATTCTTGTGATGTTAGACAAGAGAACCATAAAACTCATTCTTTTGTTCGGTCAATGCATGTGTGTACATTCTTGGCATCACCGTCATTCGCGTACCTTCGGGGTCACAGCAAAGCTGTTGACCCTTGTTGAAACATATGCCACTCTGAACCTTCGGAAGGTGACCTCCTTAGCCATGATGGGCCTTCTAGCAATGATTGGCCTTTGCCTTCCGTCGTTCTCAAAAGGTCAGGCTCAAGTTGCAACCATTGCAGCTCGTGAGCTGAGCTTAGTGAGTGTGGTGAACAACTCACTAGGAACGATGTGACATCTCCTGCCACAATCAGAGACAAGCAAACCTAGCCATATTTTTGGCGCCCGAGAGGTTGGAAACACTTGCTCGTGCATTGCTTGTGCTTGATTCATATGAATTTTCTTTTGTGCATGAACCTTTTTCTCCGCTGAAGGTCCTCAATTGTATTTCTGGTGGCCATTCTGCCCAGCTTTGTCGCATAGTCCCACCACATCCTAAACATGTGTTCATTTCACAGTGTGAACGTTTATCGTGAAAGTTGATCTGTCTCTTGGTGACTTGTTGCTTCAGTTTCTTTGTTTATAGAAAGCAAGCGAGCGCAGCAAGCCCCTAATGGCTCGTTGCCCTTGCAGAGCTTGATGACTTTGCACAGGCGGAAAGCCTGCATGAAGCCACTCAATCAACAACCACTGCGCAGACTTGGGAAAGACAAACTAATGCACACCTGTGCCTCTGAAAGAGCTGCCATCAGCTCCAAAGGGTTACCTGGGTCAACAGTTCTGTGGAAACAACGTAGTTTCAGTTCAAGGTTTCAAGCACTGGAGAGTGTGGAAGTGTGGAAATCAGTTCTGTAGCTTTGTAGTTTTGTACTTTTCTTTGGCCCGAAGAATCCTCATTTGCCTGGGAAGAATCCTTAAAGCATGGAGGCGACAAGCTTTTGCTGAATGCTTCGATGCCAGGCCAGGCCTGTTCATCCATTATTGTCGTGCTTGTTTTTAAGGAGTGGCTTCGTAGCTCATTTTCTAGATTCCAAGAGCAAGCAAATGCATGCTCATCTTCACCTCTTGATGCTCCTTCGTTTATTTGCCAGCAACAAGTATATAACACTATTTACTCTCGGACCAGCGGAAAGCACGCACTTCTTAATCCAGCTTCATCATGTGGTCTTCAGTAGGTTGAATATGCAAGGAGGGTACCCAAGTATCATTTGTTGTGGTAGACGGATGTTGTGTGCCAATCGTCGTTTTGCAATGCGCAGACTTACAACGCTACCAACCGGCTTAAAGGAGGACTACTAACACTTGCTTGGCTTTTCACACCGTACTTTGCGGGAACTGACATGTTGAACTCTTCACATCCCTTCACCCAATGATATTACTATAGGATCCCAGAAACAAACAAAGTGGAGAGTCGGATTGACTCTCAGAAGGTTCAAACATGTTAATACCTTCAAAAAGTCTATAGAGCCATTCGTGAAATCCAAGTCCAGCCCAAAAGCAAGAGCCGTGAAAAATACCAAAGACACGAGCTGAAGCGCAAAGCCCGTCCGACATGGCTCTTGAGGTAGCCTCGACACGCACACCCTTCCAGAAGCGCGTGCAAAAGGCAGGGCCGTGGCGGTGCTTCGAGACGATTCTTCATGTGAGAAATGTGGAGAATTCCCGAAGACATGAAAGACGATTTCTATCAAACGTGGAGAATTCCCGAGGCATTCAAAAACAGTAGATTCTGTAACATGCGATTCTTGGCAGCCGTTGACCTGCAGCCTCCCAAGGAATTGGACAGCCTAGAAGCACGTGCGGGCGAGGACATGAGATTCATGCATTGCACAGGCTTCCAGCACTTCGATTCAGATGCTCTAAGCTTGAAGTTTTTAAGGACGGGATTTACGTGCACGACTATCCTGACACCGACACCTGTCGAATTGACATCTTGGGAGGCAGACGTTTTGGATGCACGTCTTTGGTTTGACAATTCTTTCTATGCTTGTCTATTCTGTAGCACTGTGCAGCCCCTGGAACATTGTACGCTGGCGAGCGCTTCCTCCTTCGGTTTCGGTTTTCTGCGCGCTGCTTCTTTGCACCTAGTACATTGCGCCTCCATTCAGTTGATATCAGAGTGCATGGGAACACACAATATCATCTGAGGCTACCCATTTGAGAGTCCAGAGGCTTGCGATAAACAGACAATGGACAGATTGGCAAAGCTCTTCCGGTCCTGCTTCGTACCGGTCTAGCGAATAGATAGCAGCATATGCTTAAAATGCAGTTAAAGTGCCTGGTAGAAAGAGATTGAACAGGAAGTGAAGGTAAGGTTTCATGTTCCAATCTCTTTTTACTCATTCTGATTTGTAGGTTTGGCATGTTTTTCTCTCTTGGTCTTCTCTTGGACAGGTGGTCTTCGAAGGCGAGTCACCAATGCATCCTCACATCTACTCGAACGGGTGCACTCGGCATGTTTCGATTGGTTTTACCTGCTTGAACGGTTTACATCAATTTACTGCTCCTAAATGAAATCCATGAAACTGTAGATACAGTAACAGTAGTCACCTTTTCATGGATGTTCGATCGAATTCTTAGGTCCACGTTTTTGAGTTTGGTTTATCTCCCAGCCTTATCTTGCAGGTCTTTGTCCGTAGATGTACCTTCCTTTTTTCTGAACTCTTCTTCGTTATTGTTTCCCAACCTGTTCCCTTCTCTTAGCCGCCTTAGCCCTGTTTCCCGAACTCAGAGTGGTTTTGGTAGCCCTTATGGGGCGGTGTGTTGCTTCAGTGTTTTCTGGAGCTCCTTTTCCTCTTCCTCACGGGTCACGACAAGTGGCTCGTCTTGTTTTCATTAGCATTTTTTTTCAGCGCAAGATCACTAGCTTCCGATCTTTTGTTTTGCTACTCAGTATGTGTTTCCCTACCAGAACGTGTTCCCTTTGATTATGTTCAGGCACATTTGCTTATCGATCCTCTACGATGCGTGGAGTCCAGCCCTCACGGTCCAGGACTAAAAGCCGCGGACAATTTGCTGTATGACGATGTACGATGTGATACGATGTGCAACCGTGCCTGTTTTGCTGTGCCTGTTTTGTCAGGTCCATGCCGTCTGCATGAGCATTGTCTCGATGCTTAGCTCCGCTCAAGAGAAAGTGCGGCCCAAGGACCGAACCTTTTTCTATGTGCTGTTTTTTCTAGTAACAAGTGCCACGCTAGTAGTAACAGGTGCCTTACTAGTAACAAAGAAGCTATTTAATAGCTTATTGTTTCGAATAGCAAATATTGTTACTACTAGTAAGGCACTTGTTACTACTAGCGTGGCACTTGTTACTAGTAATTCAATGAGATATGTACGAAATATGATGATCTTATCATATGTGACAAGGACGACGCGTCATACGTTTCAAGGGTGGGACATAGATCGCCAAAGCTGTCGGGCACCCAGCTTGTCTCAAAACTTCAGCCCGGCTGAGTGCTCGAAGCAAATCGCAATCCAAAATCGGATTGACATGGATTGAATGTGGCGCGAATGCACCGGCTCACCAAATGTTGTTGTCTTTTGATGTCTGCATGTACATAAAATTACACACATATATATATAAGATATATATATATAATATATATATATACATGTGAGAATGACATCTTGGTTAGTTTCGAGGTGGGTTTTAGCTCCCGGACTTTTTTTGGCAAGCTTTGGAGGTCCAAATGGCACTTCGACGATGACCGAGTGTGACTGTGCGTCAGTAACTCGACCTTTCGTTTCACTTATACAATGGCCTGCCATGGCCTGCCTGAAATTCGTATAGCTCGGCCAAGCCAAAGTGCTCCAAGGAGGGTGAATGAATGAGTTAAAACGACTATACAGACCAAAACCCGTCATTGGTATTCAAGCAGGATGTAGCATGCATGTGCTTCCATGTGAGCGCTGATTTTGACATACAATGTAAACTTCCTAAATTGTGTGGGAGATGATCCAAAACAACCTACTTAAATCCCGCAGCTGCTACAAGAGCGCATCGAGACTCATTGTGGGGCCGAAGGCCTTTGCACTGCGAAGAAGAGTGCTTTGACCGATGAAGGTTTTCAGCACACTGAAGACCATGTGGACGTCCACATCAGCACCCAAGTCTCCTGAGGCACTGCAGGTACTGCGAACGTCACGCGCGCTGCAATGTTCCCCCTCTCTCTTTCTCTCTGTTGTTTTTTTCTGCGTGTCTTTTCCTGAGCTCTCTGAATCAGCCGTTTTGGCTGGCAAACATCATTGGCAAACTGACCTGCTGTTCGTTTCTACCACATGCCTTTTGGAGCGCTTTGCTTGCATTGAACTGCTCGTTCTTCCAACATGCATGTGCCTTGCATGTCTGGCAAAACAGCTTCCCTCCTTTTCTCCACATCTTGTGGCTCTGGTGGCCTTTCCAGCCAGAGTCAGGCAGCCATTCACCATTCCAGCACGTCGACTTTGCCAGGCTTTCAATCTTTTCACTTGCAGCAATCCGCAAAATGCGGCCACTGCATCGTTCGCAGACTACGTAATTTGTCTGCAGGACAATCTGGTGGTCTGACATTTCTGAGTGGATGTGGGGGTGTATCCACAACAGACACTTCAGGAACCACAACAACAACAGGGCTTCCCCGATAGGGGATTTGGTACCCTCGACTACTCTACTTTTGGTACCCTCGACTACTCTAGGTTTGGTACCCTCGACTACTCTAGTTTTGGTACCCTCAACTACTCACTACTCTATTGGTACCCGCGACTACTACTTTGACACTTCCTCTTGACAGCGGCAGCAGCAAAAGCTCCAGCTTGGCCTACACCTCCACGGAGGAAGAGTCCGGACTGGGCCGTATCTGCAGTTCTGGGCAAGAGTTAATTGACCGCTCTCATAAAGGGCTAACAGAGCTTCGCTTAACTCGAGGGTTCTGCTGCTAGCCCCATAAACGTGCCAAAATTGAAGCTTTTGGAGGGCATTCCTCCCGTTTTGGGTGCGTTTGCCTGGGCTTTGCGTCATTCCTGCCAGGCACTCGACATCTCGGACATCTCGGACCCCGAGCTCTTCCAGCCACAGTTTTCTTCCCAGCGCGAGGCTGGGGACTGGGGAGCTGAGATTAAATGGGGACAGAGGCAAACGGAAGGGAAGTGCACAGGACATTCGTAGAACCCAAGGCTATTCGTGGACAGTTCGTGGAATGGTGGGCCAGTAGGAGAACTGACTGCAACGAAATCCTAGAAACCTTCGCAGAACTTCGTGGAAGGTATTTTTGATGCACTACCTTCGTATAAGCGATTTTTGCTGACCCTCTTTCTCCACACACCCTCCATTTAGCCTTCACTCAGATCTTTACAATAGATGTCTTTAGCATATACATAGACATACTCACATCTAGATAAGGACGGAGGGTCATGGAAGCACTTCATCAGCTTGTGCGAGCTTGGCCCTCCTTTTTATCCATGTTGTGTCCCTGGCCCAAAGAAGATGGCAGCCCAATCCATGGATCCATGATTGTTGAACCCTGACCCAAAGAAGATGGCAGCCCAGTCCATGGATCCATGATTTGAAATGTTTTGATTCTAGCACCGATAGCCGGCCAAAATCCGCGTTGAACCGTTCCTCGCAAAGCACAGTTTTAGTGCCGTCATGTTGCGACGGCAAAAGTTGAGCTTCACCGCTCGGGATGATGTGCGCTTCTCGCTTGCGGACCTTCCTCAAGATGATGTCGACGGGGATCGTGTGACGCCCGCAGATGTTCTTCGCGCAGCTGCGCGACGCTGGTGCAAACAGACAGATGAATGTGTCTTCGACTTCAAGAGTCCGAGAAGACGTCCACATCACCTTGAGACGGTAGCTCTCTGTGCTAAGCGTGAGGGGTGTGATGTGCGCTTCAGATTTAGAGGATCGGCGAACGATGCTGTGTACAACCTTTCGGTGGCCTGTAGCAGCGACGCGCACTCGGCGGTGCCCCGCAAGGCTAGAGTCTCGAAGAAAAACCCAGTGGAGTCTCAGCCGTCTGTGGAGGAGCGGATGGCAATCCGCAGGGCTTGTGAGCATCTAGTCGAGCAGGGGCTGTCGGTGACTCCAGGCAGTGTTGACCAGCTTTTGACAACCCGCGTGGCTGCCACCGTGCTGAAGAACACTGTGAAGTGGTGGAAGAAAGAAATGGGCGGGTCGACGAAAGAGTTTCGCGACTCCGTGGAAAGCTTCAAGAGCTTTGTGGACAGTCGCACAGGGAGCGGCCACGTCAAGTTCTGCCACGTGGACGTGAGCCAGAACAAGTTCACGTGGGTATGCTTGTTGCCTTTCTTCTTCAAGGCCATCAAGCAATTGTCCCAAGCTGGGCGAGCCGACAGCATCACCATCGCCTGCGATTGGACGCATCGCTTGTGTCACCTTGGGTGGGAGTATGGCTTTGTGGTTGCAATTTTGTGGAAGCGGCAGGGCGGCGATTGGCGTCACACTGGCTGGCCACTTTGCGCTGTGTGCCATCCGAAGGAGTGCTCAGTGTGTATGCCATTGGCTTCCGTGCTGTTCTGGCTGAATTAGAGAGCTGGAGCCTGCCCAAGCCCGTGCAGCTACATGTAGATTGGTTTGCTGGACAAGGAGGGGATTGATGCTTTTTTATTCACGCTCTTTCGGTTATCCTCAAAGCTCTCGCTTGGCAAACGCTGCAATTTGTGCATTTTGGGGAGATTGAAATTCCGTTTTGATAGCGCTTGCTTGGTCGGGTCACCTCACCCCTCCAGGCGGCGACGCAGGTCCAATTGGACAGAAGTGGAAGGAGGCAGTGGGCCCCAGCGGCCCGGTCATCAACGGGTATGAGCACATGCGCCGCGCTATCCAGCGGAACGACCGCCAAGGCAGATTGATTATTTTTGCACCTTTGCCCTGATGCGAAAGTGAGCACCCCCTCTTGCAAGTGCTTCACAATCAAGTTATGAACTGGCCATGATAACTTGACCCGCGCAGGCAAGTCTCGAGTTCTACGCGTGGCAGCAGCAGCAGCAGAAGCAGCGCAAGCGGCTGGGCCTCATCCGAAGGCCAAGGCACGGGCTCGGCCTCCTCCACACCTGCGGCAGATCCCGATCGACTACATCTTAAAATTCATCCGAGTGATGATGTTCGCTCCTACTGGGGCTCTGTTCCATCTGGCCTGGAGCATCGTCCATTCCAGACTCACGCACCGTGGAGATGTGAAATATTTTTCTTTGGCATTGCGAATCATGGACCATTTTTTTGCCAGTCAGTGCATTTTCCATGTTATCGGGGCGGAATGTCAAGCCCTCTGATTTCGAGCCACGTTAACCGAGGCATTTTCACCAGGAAGCCAGCTGGGTCGACTACTTTTTCAAGATGTATATGGTGGAGAAAGAGGTCGATGAGCAGAACTGGGGCGTTTCCAAGGCTTGGTCCGCAGTTTGGTGGTGTGGGGCGCAGAGTGCTGTGAAGCCAGGCTTTGGGCCGTCTCAGCAGGTCGCTGAGATGTGGAATGCCAAGGCCAAGACAGATATGACAAGGTTGGGCGAATTGAAAACGCACCAAGCTGTTGTCATTGCTTTGGAGCGTTGCGTTCAGTCTTGGAGTGTCTTTGAAGCCTGGGGAGGAGAACTCCAAACAGCCGAAGTATTCCCTCATGAGCCCTCATGAGTGCTTGAGCACATCGAGGCCAACTTGTCCGGATTTGTGGATGATCACGGGCAAGAGTACAAAAATGAAAAGGCTGGGCGGGGCAGAGGTTTCCGTCCCTTCCATTTCTTTGCTGCTGCCTCTTATGAGGCAGAGGAATTCCAAGTACTTCCACAGGCATACTGACCAGGATGGACGAATCTATTTTGTCATGGCCACCTATCGGCCAAAGCCAGTGCCGCCAGGATTGCTCCAACGATTTGTCCGCACAGTGAACACCAAGAATGTCGGGAGGCTGTGCGCCGTTTTGGTGGACGCCGGTGTTGTCACGACGGTCGACAACGTTCAGGCCCCACACCACTTCCATGTGGACCAATACCGTGCAATTTTTGAGGACTGGTGTTTGCAGTGGGTGCAACCAGGGGAGCAGAGGGCATCATGCAGTTGCTGGATTCATGCTTGGAAGGGCCACTGCAGCCACGCTTACAGAATTTTTGTCTCTTCAGAGTTGGGTCGGCGCACCGGCTCCGATGCCGCAAGATGTCATTGGCGGGGCCTCCGATGAAGAGGTTGCGCCTGCCACGCCTGCCAAGAAGCGGGCGACGCCGATGAGACAAAAGAATCCACTCCCAGGTCATCGCTGCCACAAAAGCTTTTTTGGCGTTTTGAGTTGGTGGAAAGTCGGTTTTGATTGGGGTGGTGAACGGTTTTGCACCGGCTCACCGAAGGGATGTCCAGAGCTTTGAGACGTTTGAGTGAGCTGTGGTTTGCGCACGGGACGAGGAGCCTGTGGTATCATAATAAGAGACGGTTGGTGGGGCTTCGAGGAATCCCCTCCATCCATTTCTAGGAGTGACTTGGTTTGTGCTTTGGGTCTCGGGTAGTTAAAGAGTCAGAGTCCGCCAGATGGGCTCCACAGCTTGGCTTTCCCTTCTCCGACGCATCGCATCCTGGGCAGGTGCAGGCTCAGGCGAGTCCGCAAACCGACGCAGCTGCTTGTTGTGGGCTGCTTGCGACAGAGTTGGGTGGGCACGTTTGCTTGGAAAACGGATTCTCGAGTTAGGGGGGCATCTGTGTGGATCATCACGGGCCGCTGCAAGAGTGTCCTTGGAAACATAATGCACGTGTGGTGGGAGTTCGAGGACTCCCCTCCCCCCGTTTCTAGGATTGACCTGGTTGCAAGGAGGAGTGATTGGCTGATAGTAGACAGAGAATTATCTTAATACTTTCACTTTTGGTGGGAGTTCGAGGAATCCCCTCCCCCCGACTAGGATTGACCTGGTTGCAAGGAGGAACGATTGGCTGATGGTAGACTGGGAACTATCTTAATATATTACTTTTGGTGGGAGTTCGAGGAATCCCCTCCCCCCCGTTTCTAGCATAACTTGGTTTGTAGAGGGGGCTTCCGATCGTATTCCGATGATGAAACAGATGATGGCATTCTCTTCACATGTTTCGCATCCCGGGCAGGTGTCGATGGGGCATCGAGGCCCAGGCGAGCGAGCAAACCGACCGAAGAGTGGGTTGTGGAGATGTTGCGCTAGGCTGACTGCTCATGTGTGCTTTTAGACGCGCGTGTCACGCGGTCTGCTATTTCAAGAGGGGGGGTGAGCGAGGCCATGGGGCCACGCCGGAAGATAGCCCAAGATCTACAATACATCTTTACAAATGCAACGTGCGTGCTTGTATGTTTTTGATGTTCGCATGACATTTGAACCTTAATGGCTCTAGCATATATCGGTATATATATACATCTATTCTCCACAAGCCTTAAGAAGCACATACCTCCCAAGTTTTGTATTGATGGCGTCGCGCCATCTGCCACGGGACGCGGGCACGGCTGATGCTCACGGTGATAGATCGCTGCCAGAAGGCGCAAGTGCCGCTGTATATGGGCTACCATGAAACTATCGGATGTCTGTGACCACAGACTGGCGCCGGCCGATGTCAGGCGTTGTCGGAGCCTGGCCCTGGCGCCAGAGAGAAACATCGCGTGGACACTGCCGACGTTTTCATTGCTGGCAACATTTACATCCCCACGCAGGTTGATGCATATGTCGACGGTCTAAGGCCTGTGGCGACTGTGTTACGGACTTGAGGTAAGCTTTTGTTTAGCAAACGGACCAAAAATGGAGTTTTGAGAGGGCACGCCCGTTAAATCTAGCGCGTTTGCCAAAATGTGTCCTTTCTTGGCTTTCCTGGGGCCGATCCTCTTTCAGTCTATAGTATTTTAGGCAAACGTGCAGAAATTGGAGGACTTTGAGGGTGCTGCCTCCAGATTTGGCTCGTTTGCCTAATTTTGTCATCTTGGACAGGAATGCACCTCCTGGTTCATGGGCGGAGCAGCGGCTGCATGCTCTGCGGCAGGTGGCGATGTTTGAAGATCAGCTTCGACGTGATGGCTTGAAAGGACAGTCCAAGCAGCTCTTGGCAGAGTATGAGATCCTGAACGCGCAGAAGTCTGC